GCGGTCGAGACCAAGAGTTCCCGAATACTGGGTTCAACCCACAGGGATTATACACAAGGGCCACACGCCAAACTCGGAGTTCCCAAGAGGTTATCAGAGTTCTGACCCTCTGTGCATCCGAGCCTCCTAGAGTCTCGGGACCAGAGCGAGCACTGTACGCCAAGGGGTGAAAGTTTCACCGACTTCACCACAGGCCTCTGAGGAGTGACCAACAGCAAGAAGACGCGATGCTGCGTCTAGTGGTACCCTCAACGATGATTCAAGAGGTACTGCAGAACTGCCACGACTCGTTAGAAGGAGGCCATCAAGGGATCGCTCGGACTTTCTACAGAGTGAAGTTGGATTATTACTGGATCGGTCTATACGCGAACGTAGCAAGGCACGTGCGGTCCTGTCCCGACTGTAGCTCAAGCAATAGTCGACCAACGATCCGCGGATACTCCCCGGGGAACATACTAGCGGAACGACCGTTTCAGGTTGTTTCGATGGATTTTGTGATACCCTTACCGAAGTCTGCGGGGAAACACTGCGCTCCTGCTATTCCAATGCGCATTCACGGGGTATGTGATGGGCAAAGCTATGACAGATACGACAGCTCTGAGAGTAGCCCAAGCATTTGGAGAATGTGTGTACCGCAATTTCGGTTCCCTCTCTCTCATTAGACATGACAAAGACCCACAATACAGGAGCGAGGTGTTCTAATCGTTCACTGAAATGATGTAATCTAGGTCTAGAGCGACGTTGAGTTACCGACCTCAATGCGACGGTCAACAAGAGCGCTCGGTCAAAACTGTCATGCAATCAGTGCGTGTGTACGCGGAAGACCCACTTCAACAAGACTAGGACGAGATTGCCGAAAAGTTGATCTTTGCGATCAATAACTCAATGGACACAACGAGGAAAGAGACGCCTTTCTTCCTCGTCCATGGGTGGGACGCCCAGTCCACACTCAAGGCGATTCCTCGTCGCTCAAACGAGGACTCGGTCGACAGTCAGATGCACTGGC